AACAAATGTTGGTTTTGTACAGGGAGGAACTGGAAACTGTTGAGGCCTTTGCTTCTAAATTATCAGTTGATGATTGGATCTGCTGCAAATTCCAGATGTTGAACCGCCCATTAGCTCCTCTTCTCATTTTCTTATTCAAGAGATAAGAACATGAGTTTGATGCAAGGTCTTGTTTAGATCAAATGAAGGGTTTATTTAATCTGTAAAATTTATTTGACAAATGTATAGAATGTGTTGGGAAAAGTATTTGAAACACTAACACTAGCAGTTGGAATTTACAATTTCATCATATTTAATTGTATTGGATTTGATGGAATTTGAAAAGAAACAAGAATATTTAATTATTATCACAAATATAATCATATTTTTTACTAAATTTATTTATTATAAACCAAAAAAAATATTATTTATTGTAAATATAGATTGGTTGAATAAGAAGTTTTCCTCATGAATACAACAAGTACGTGACGGAAGTTGACGTCAGAAGTCAACAATAACTTAAAAAATATACTGAATTAAAATTAGAGACGATCGCGATGGGACTCGAACCCACAATCTCCCGCTCCGGAGGCGAGCGCCTTATCCATTAGGCCACGCGATCTTGATGTTCTACTCTAATTTCTCTTTTAAATCAAGAAGAATATTGAGAAAAATTCTTGGCTACCCATGAAAAATTCATAGGCTTTAGCGTTTAAAAACAATGGTATACTTCAAATTATATATATATACATATGTACATATTAAAAAAATGTATTCAAAGACTATGAGGGGATACAACTCTTTTATAAAATTATTTATAACCAAAATATTTATTTTTTTTAAAATATAAGAGGAAAGTATTATTATACATAATGATACTAAGAGAATACTATTTTATATACAAAGTAATTATATATCTAAAAAATGGTCAACGATACATTTTATATCTTTCTAATCTAAAATATCATGATCTAATGAAATAAAATTTATCAAAATATTTATAAAGTCTTTTAAATCTTTATTATAATATAATGCTCGATCTCTAATAAAAAAATTAAAAATTAAAGTTAATAAAATTTTAAGTCTCTCAATAACAAAATTTATACCTGTAAAAATAATATTTCCAAGAAATCGCTAGTTGCTTCCAAGAAATCGTAATCTACAAAAACTACCACGTAAAATTTATTAGCGATACGAATTTTGACAAAACGGAAAAATATTTTAAAAAATATTAACAGAAAAAAAAATTTAAGGATTATGTGGCTCGTAAGTACCTTAAATTATATCCTTGCAAATTAAAAAATTACATTATTATTGAAATTAGGTTGATTAACTAAATTAATTGAGAACGCAATAACTATGCAATTATAAAAATAAATTAATAAATTAACAAGTTTGTGAAATTGCTTCAAACTGTGTTCTGAGTTGGAGGGTTTTGGTACTTTCAAATCCCACACAAACTACTTATGAAAAAGAAAAAAATTATGACAACAAGTACATCAACCTTTATTTATAAGTACAACCTTTTTCGACAAAACGGGACACAGATTCCATTAAGACTTCATCCGGCTCATGTTGTTTCCGAACCTCCTACTGTATTACTTTCATAATTTATGAAGTAGTATCAACAGGCGTGTCAGAGTGACCTCCCCATTCAGTCCAAGATCCGTCATAGACAGCGACATCCGGCTTCCCAAGCCGGTGGAGTCCCTGGAAAGATAGATATGATCAGAGTCCTCATCAGTAGTTACAATTTAACAAGAGATTTGCTAGACATACAAAGGAGAAGGCGGAGATTTGCGTACCAGTGCAAGAATGCAAGCAGTTACACCAGTGCCACACGAAGTTGCAACAGGACGTTCCAGTGAGATGCCTATAAACCAGAGAATGTTGTCAAGATTCAAGAAGATAGCAGATGGCAAAATCGAACTCAGATCGATGCCACCTTATATCAAACTTCAATGCTGAGAAATGTAATTAAAAAATGAAATGGGATGGTTGGGCTATGTTCAATCAATTGCTCATACATGTGCTAAATTAATCTGAAACTACAAACAATGCAAGAATAATTTTCCGTAGAACAAAAACCTCATAAGATCATAATTCTTTGCACACAAAAAAAAAAATACTAATTTCAAGGAGAATGATGGAAAATGTAGCTGAGGGCTTCAAGGGAAAATTAATCTGTTTGAATTGCCTGATTATGTGAAATCCTCATGTATCCTGGCATTCTCAAGCAGTCTAGATTTCTTTAATATCTGCATAACAAATCTTTCGTACAATATCACTTCAAACCTATAGTTGTCAAGTTTATTATAGTAACAAGTAAAGAATATTTTTTGAAGATTATCCCCTCCAAAGGTACAGTAGATCTCGTAACATGTAGATAGGACTCTACACCGTAAACAGAATGTTAACTAGGATCTTTGCTTTCTACATTGTTCCAGAGAAAAGACCTTTCCTTGCTACTTCCCCTTTACATTGAAACTTCTATGAACAATTGCTATGCAGACACAAGAAAAGGGGAATTTTCCAGAATTCTCTGGACTTCATGAGGAAATAAGAAGCTCTGCAGGGCTAATGGATAGGACATGTCAAAAGTCTTGCTTTAAGACAGGTACACATTCATGGGATCAAGAAATATCAAACTCCTAGTTGCAACAAAGGTTACTACTATGTTTTTTATTTTATTCTCTTTTTTTCTAACTCCGTAAGTCGAATACCTTGTAATTCTAAAATTTGTCAGCTACACGCAATTTGCATTTATTTTATATGGATCCTAAGCATTTTAGAAGGTTGTTTTAAGTACTCTTTAGGTTTTAGAGTGGCCCAGCTAATCAGTTATAGATTTATGTCATATACCATCATAGAAAAATTTCCTGGAGTTTATAAAGACATTGATAATCTCTATCCCAAAGATAGCATCAGTGTGAACTTTTGATCCCAAACTTCTTATTTTTGGAAGATCTGTTCCTTAATTGCATAGAATTCATTCTTTCTCCATTCCAACCATGAACAGGATTTGGCATTTACCAACTAAATATGACTTGAAAAGGGTACAAAACCATGAAATGGGATGCAGGAATCTCTTTGATGACTCAAGTGTTACTAATATTATTACTGTTTATGAGGATAACATAGAACTTTGTGAACTGGAAAGGAAGTATCATCGAGGAATTTTCCTTCTTATTGGATTAAAGAAAAGGGGAAAAAAAACTTCATCTAAACACAACTCTCTTAAGGCATCAAGTGAGAAACTAGTGGATATCATAATCTTGGAATAAACTGTTAAGATATCATCTTCCAAATAGAACTTCTCAGATGTTTAACTTAAGAATCACGTAACAACTAACAACTCATTGACATAATATCATCATATGCCTAAGACCATATTAAATATTTTCCCCAGCGACAAGCTACAAATTGATTCCCATTTAGTTTATATAAACTAAAGGATTATGCATGACAGACTCCAAAACTGACAGCCAAAATAAATTAGTGACTGGATGAAAGTGAATACATCATATACAAGAAGACAAAAATTAGAAGATTTACCTTCTTGATCAAATCTTTTCTTAAGTTCATCTACTGGTAATAAGGTCTGTGATTCATCCAACATCTAAAAAGAAATAGCAAACATGTTAAATGAATTATGCAGCCCCCAGTTCTCAAGGTATTCAATATTATGCTATCTTACAATGTTAGAAAAGATGATGAACCCCAAGCAGATGACAATCAAATAAAATGGTACTGCTGAAATTCACAATTATATACCATAAAATACTTATAGCAGTTATCATTGACAATAAAGATAATTAATTTATTTTATTGAAGTGGTGCAGATTATAATCAAATAAATTGACGAATAAGAGATACTTTCCAGAATACTTTCTTGGATTTTTCCCCATTTCAGAATTGTAATTCACGTCTGAAAGAAGCTTTATATCTTATTAAGTTGTTTTTCGTGTCAACCAAAAGGAAGAAGAAATCATGTTGTTTCCATCAAAGTCACATACAACTCATGTTTTGAAATAATTTTGCAAATTTATGACCAATTGTGAGAAAAAGGTAGTGGTTGTACCTAA